TATCTACGCGTAAATTATAATATTCTACGTCTACATGTAGACAATATAAACTATGAATGTAATGTAATCTATGTAGACAATGAGTAGTCTATAAGTGAAATTAGTTGGACACCATGTTTGACCTTAGTATTTCTAATATTTTCAAATGTGTAAAATTTGCATTAAGTATTGTAAATTTAAGTAAATATATTATTAGTACCCGCCGAATATTTTTCATTGTTTAGATATTTTTTCTTTCAATGAATTTAATCTAACTTTGTCAAGAGAGGTTTTCTTTAGAACCTACACAGAGAGAATGATTTGGTTGAATCAAATAAACACTTCTTTGGAATAGTCCAAACAAATTTTTTGATTGATCGAACAAAATTTTGTTTGACGCAACAAAAATATTTATTTGCGGCTTAGTTCCAAAGAAATATTTTTGTTGTGTTAACCAAATAATTGGTTTGGACTATTCCAAAGAAACATTCATTTGATTCAATAAATCGTTTTCTCTGTGTACAAATGGTATTTTTTTCATATATTTTCTGTCATTTAAAAGCACTACACTACAAATCTGAATGAGTAATAAGTACACACTTGATTTACATTGATTTTACATTGATTACTATTACATTGATTTTCGCCATTATTATTGATTTATTATTGATTTTCGCCATTAATACTTTTATTTAAATTCTTTTATTTAAATATAATAAACAATTATTTTCATGAAAAGATTTTAAGACATTTTAAGAAAATGTATATTTTTTATTTGTGAAATATTTTATATATTAAATAAGTAATAATAATTAAATAAGTAAATATGTTAATTAGTATTTACCGAATATATATAAATATATTTTGATTTTTAGATTTTTTAAAATACTTATATATCTTTCCATATTTTTAATATTTTTTTTTATCATTTATTATATTTACTATTATTATTATTTATTTCCTTTTTCTTCGATTTTCAATATTTTTCATTTTTTCTCTTCTCAGAGTGTACAATATACAATTAAAAGAAATTTATATAGATTCCGATTACTAAAACAAATATTGAATGAAATATTGAGGTTGAAAGTGAGATCAAAATTTTGAGTCAGGGTATGACACTCGTAGAGTCTAATGTATACATTAAACTTGGAGAAATTGGTCGACTTTTTTGATCGTGTAGGCGTTGTTATGCGGTTATGCAAACTTGTCCTCCGGTTAGACCTCAACCTCAACACGTTCGATCGACGTTGGCGAAACGGCGTCGCGACGCCGTGTTTCTTCTGGGTTTCATTCACCCTCGAGGAGAGCGGTCACCGCTTCGCTCCTTCCGTCGACGATGCGCCTAAACACGGGCGCCGCACTTGAGCCAGCCGCGTTATCCACATTGCGGTGCATTAATAGTCGCGCGACGACGAGCTCCCTCCCTATCCTTCGGGTGAGGAGGGCAGCAGAGCTGCCCCGGTTCAAGAGGAAGATTATTTTCTTTCAAACGGACCTTGGCTGGGCGCAACGACGCCGCCACCGCCGTCCAGACGTTGCTCGCCGCCTGTACAAAATACATTGCTCGCCAATACCGCCAATTATACAGGTCGCTACTAAAATATTCCGACAATTCCCGAGTCGACATTTTTGCCCTATATTGAACCTTGAATTCTGCAACGTAATAGCAGCTAAGTTAGCAAAGTAGGTTTAATTTTAATGATGCAATTTACTCCTACTTTGAGTCTGCTGATGTCCGAAATTTCCCTTTTCACTTTCTTTAGCGTTAAAAGAGATGTTGAATGGAATAGTGAGGCTGAAAGTAAAATCAAAATTTTGACTCAAATAGATTAAATAGAATCAAAAGAGATTGATGTAGGTTCCAAAGTATCAAAATAAGTGTTGAATAGAATAGTAAGGCTGAAAATAGGATCAAAATTTCAACTCGGGAAATAGATAGGCTTTGTACACCGCGGTAGATACGAAGTGGACTCTTCCTTGGTTGACCGAGTGTTTTATTTTATTTCATTTTTTATTTTTCATCTCATATTACTCGATAACTAGAGTGGCGACAATAATGAATAGTTGGAAATAATTAATAGTCTGAATCAATGGCAGAAAAAGAGAAAACAAAGCATGAAAAGCAAAATATACTGAGAAAAAAATATCTAAAAAATATTTATTTTTGATGGGAGTACTAATAAAATATTTACTTAAATCTAAATTCTTTTATTTAAATGGAATAAACAATAGTTTTCATGAAAAGCTAAGGCTTTTTCAGATTTTAAGAAAATGTATATTTTCTTATTTAAAAAATATTATATATTAGTACAAATATAAATATATTATTAATGTACCCATCGAATAAATATTTACTATTAGATATTTTTTTTCTCAGTGTAGATCCAATAGTTCCTAAGAAATACGTTTTTTATTGGATCATTCGGTTATATCTTAAAACTTATTACAAAAAATCGAACAACTTTTATGTCTATGATTGTACTACGACATTGATCAACCTTAAAATTGTACAATAAGTATGCACACATTATCCATTATTATTAACACAAAACTGCCAATTTTATGAACAATAAACTTACTTATTAATGGACTGAATAATTTCTTTGTCCAATTATTGCTCAGTTTTCGGTCAGTAAATGAATTCAGATATTGCGCATCTTTTGTGCTCACACTGAGAAAAAAGTGATTGGATTGATAAAATCGGCGGTCACCAGCCATCAAAAAAATATTGGATCTATTCAACAAAATACGTGTTAATGCAACAATAAATTGCGTTGATATAGTAGATTTTAACGCAACTTATTGTTATTAACATGCATTTTGTTGAATAGATCCAATATTTCTTTGATGGCTCGGTGATCGCCGATTTTGTCAATCTAATCGCTTTTTTCTCAATGCAGTAACTGCAGACAAAGTGTTACATCTTGATCAGGAAAGAATCTCAACAGTTTTATTCGTTAATTATTGGGCAGAAATTAATATAACTGTTCATTAACTGCTCAGAAACTGCACGAAATTTTCACCAAGGCGATTCAAAGCACTTTTGATGGAGAAAAAGTGAATTGAATGGACCACGTTTTGAGAAACATTCGAGCATTTTAGATACGCACTGTATACACATGCCGATGATTTATTGCCGTCGATATACGAAACGTCGTGGTTTGACGAAACCGCAGCGTAATTTATGCGCCACAAAGGCGCTTAGCTATTTCAATAAAAAATCGGAGCGAGACAACGGGAGCTGGCAGGTCGGTTGGCGCACGGCTCACGATCGTTTGTACTGTCCGGTAACAATTATGTCTCGTTAATCGTTCAAGAGTGAAGCTAACGGCGACTTCGAACTAAGAGAGTGGCGTAAGTGACGAGGTGGTAACATACCTGAGGTACTCGAGAATACATTTAAGTTAGTCAAAGTTGTATCGCGAAACTACCTTCCGTTTTACCATTAATCATCGAGGAAATGGTTGATTTAACTAAATTAATTATATAAGATGTAAGATATAAGATTATATAAGATATAGGATATAATTATATAAGATATAAGATTATAAATAATTATAGATATTTTTAATTTAAATTTAATTTAAAATAAAATATTAGAGAGAGAAAGAGAGAGAGAGAGATTAAAAATTATAGATATTTTTTGCACTAATTATATATCTTTTAGTTGTTCTAATGCGAATAGAATAGTAGTAATATGCATAATATAAGGTTATTGTCACTAACATTATAATAGCATTTCGTAAAAATGTGGTTTTCTTGATCATAACTTATAGTAATTATTTCTCTATGTGATTATAGTCATACAAATATAAAATATTTTTTCTTAGTGTAATAAAACAAAACGGAAAAAATCCAATGTCGATTTGCCTTTTCGGTAAGAATTAAATCTCGATGAAGCATCATTTTTATATGTACGTGCTTCTATGCGAGTGTAAAATTGAATGGATTGAAATTAATATTAAATAAATCGTGAATAACAGAACAATTTATCGTTAAGTAAGTTTATGTCTTATATTATCGTACGCATTATAAAGTTGATTTGTTTGCGTCTTCTTACTGTTTCTTGCTGATATGAACTACGTATATAATAATTCAAGAAAAGTTTTGGAGCGCTCGGTCGCGTGATTTTTGCAAAGGAAATTTGAGGAAATTAGCGACGAGGAATCTTTCGTGCGTTTAAAGACAGGAGCACAAGAAAACGATGCAGATGAGAAACCTACCGACGACGGGTCGGCATACACTGGCGTCTGGACGCCCGAAATAAACTCACCGCATTCTGCTTCTCTCTCTCGCTCTCTCCCCCTCTCTTTTATTCCTCGCCTTTGCCTTCTTCATCTTCTAATGTAAGGCTTGGATGGCTATAGCTACTCTTCGCTGCTATCATCCTCGTTTACGAGAGAGTAGGAACGTACATGCCGTCGGTACTACTTGGGAGGTTGGGAGGGAGAGAGCGAGCGAAAGAGAGCGGGAGCAAGAGAGGAGGGGGAAAGGGAATTTCGCCGCAATAATGTCGCCGTTTCGGAACGATTCGGGAATCGTCCACCTGCCTGCTAGGAAGAAATTCACATGAAATTCTTGCCGTACAAAAATCCAAATTTCAATCGCGCTACCACCCTTGATGTTTAACGTGTCTGAAGAACGTCACATGCAGAGATATATGTAACATTTAATAGGACATAAAATTTTGTGAGATAACAAATTGCTTCTTATTATAAAATTATTTACTACCAATCAGATTAATATTTGTTTACTCAAACTTTTAGTTTTTGAGCTCATTCATCTATGTATTCTTGACACAACGCTTTATGTTATATATTTTAGCTTTTGTTATGTATATATTTTAGTTTTATATATATATATATATATATATATATATATATATATATTATATTGTATATTACTTTATATATTTTTAACGTTCTTCTCTTGTTTTCAACTCCGTCTTTATAAGGTAAAAGTAAAGGATCATTTTTGTCTTGTTGCAACATTAGAGAGAAGTTTGTTTCTTTTTATTTCAGGTATACATAGACAAGATGGTCGTCGGAGAGCCAAATATACACAACATAATGGGGGGGATGGAAAGCACGGGTGGTGTGCGCCTTCATAATCACAAGCGGAAGCTGAAACAAAGGTATGTAAATCGATGTCTAATCTAAGACTCGCGTAATCCGCTTTTTCGCTCACGGATATGCTCTTGTGCGGTTTCAAAAGAAAGATTATATTGGTAGCTTCAATATTTATGCAAAGGAAACCTAAAAAAATTGTCTATGACTAATTTCTAAATTAAATTGTATATTGTTGCAGATTTGATATTATAAAAAAGTTGGGACAAGGCACTTATGGCAAAGTTCAATTAGGTATAAATAAAGAAACTGGCCAAGAAGTGGCGATAAAAACAATTAAGAAATGCAAAATCGAAACGGAGGCTGATCTGATAAGGATACGAAGAGAAATACAGATCATGTCAAGTGTTCAACATCCAAACATCATTCATATTTACGAAGGTAACTTTCGCATATGTCAGCGTTTGAATGACACGAATATAAAAATAGTGTCAATCTCAAGTAATTAGCATTAACTGAAGTAAATGAATTAAACGCTCGTGCTATTCAGCCTTTCAATGTAATTTACAGAACGTATTTATTAAGCATTGTTGTTTTTGCAGTTTTTGAGAATAGAGAAAAGATGGTGCTGGTGATGGAATATGCAGCGGGTGGTGAATTGTACGATTACTTAAGTGAACGCAAGGTTTTGAGCGAGCATGAGGCCCGTCGAATATTCCGGCAAATAGCCACCGCTGTTTTCTATTGCCACAAACATAAGATCTGTCACAGAGACCTGAAACTCGAGAATATCTTGTTAGACCAAGTCGGAAACGCCAAGATAGCTGACTTTGGTCTTTCGAACGTGTTCGACGAACAACGATTGTTGAGCACATTCTGTGGCAGTCCATTATATGCCAGTCCTGAGATAGTGAAAGGGACTCCTTATCATGGGCCGGAAGTAGATTGCTGGAGTTTAGGTGTGCTGCTCTACACGTTGGTGTATGGTGCTATGCCTTTCGACGGGTCTAACTTCAAGCGACTAGTCAAACAGATCTCACAGTCTGATTATTTCGAGCCCAAAAAGCCATCTCGTGAGTATAATACTTTGTGAAATCAATATTTTGCAAGCATAAGAAAGAGAGGAGGATAATTATAAATTATGTAGAATTTATTTTCATTAAATTTTTGTATTTACACGAAAATAGAACAAGTTTCTATCAATTTTATTTTATTGACGGAGAAAATGTTTGGTAGTACAAAATTTCTTTAATATTTATCTCTTTATATATAATAATATATAATAATAATTTATTTTAACAATTTCTTTTAATAATTTTTTAAATAATTCTTCTAAATAATTCTTTTAATAATACTATACTTTCATTTCAGCCGCTTCGCCGCTTATAAAAGATATGCTCACCGTGTGCCCCGGTAGACGCGCCGATATTGAAGGGATCTGCACTCATTGGTGGGTGAATGAGGGTTACGAGCAGAATTGTCTGGACATTGCCGAAGACTTGGCAGCTCAGACACCCGTGCGGCTGGACCTGTTGCTGTCCTTGGTGCCACAGTCTGCTAGTGCTGAGAAATTGCTCGTGGGCGATCAACAGGCGGGCGGAGACGTTGCGAATAATATGTCTTCCGAAACCCTAGTGCCTACGAGATGTCATTCGGTCGGTAGCTTGATGGAGCTCGATCAAAACAACTCCGACAGAAGAATAAGAGAATTGTTCGACGAGGAGCCGAGGTCTTCCGCGGCTGGCGATGCTAAGAGGAAGCTGGAAATGAGTCCATTGATGGATGAAACGACTGCGGCAGGCGTGAAGAGGAAAGAAAGGTCCAGGAGAAAGGAGAGGTCGGATGAGAGAGAACCTAGAGCGTATAGATCCTCGTCAAGGTGAATTGTTTTTTAATTACGTTCAATTAATGATGAACTATTTTTTAATTGTGAGTTATTTTTTTAATTACATATGTAATATTTTCTTGTTACTTGTAATTCTTTTTTGAATTTCTAATCTATTTAAAATCAGAAGGCACCAACACTCCGTCATCGAGAAACATTGTTTCAGGCACCATACAGCTCCGATCCCGAATTCTATATCGGAAGAAGCGATGGAGGTGGAATCTGCAGGCATCGTAACCGTTCCTATGAGTAAGACTGTTGATTTGGACAAAATCGAAGGTACGGCAGCTTGCTTAGAGCTGATCGAAGAATCAAAGGAAGTATCACTGAATAAAGAGAGAAGTCAAACACCGTTGGTGAACGAATACGAGGAGTCGCACAAGCCGATGTCCGCCGACAGCGCTCAGCAGATCTATGAGACTAATCAAAAGGTTAGCAATGTGGAAGACAAGTTTCCACAAAAACCTCCTAGCCATACCAAGTCTCCCAGCAAGAGTTTCTATGAAGACGTAGGCGGTAACACGTCGGAGAGCTCGAATATTAATAATAATAATAATAACAATAATAATAATAATAAAATAGCGAACGAGACAACGCTTCTCAGCAAGAAGTCAGAATCTGTCTGTGGTTTCGAATCAAAAGTGCCAAATGAAAGTGACGCGAATATTGCGAGGAATGAGGCGTATTTGCCGCGAGACACGCAGCAATCTGAGCCGATGGAGGGAGACTTCAAAAAGCTTAAAGAAAAGGCGCTTTCTTTAGATTCCGAATTGTCAAACGAGGCGGCAACCCCTCCAGCTAAACCCGTCGAAAGACGTCGCTCCAAGATATTTGAGACCGCTGAGAAGTTCAATCAGCTGGCGTCTACCGCAGAGAGTGAGAAACCTAAGAAAATATTTATTCCCGGTGTCAATGTGGGAGGCGCGAAGCGAGCCTTCGAGCGGAAGGCTAGCCTGTCCTCCATAACTTCTCCACCGCTCGCGAAGGCGAGTGCGTCCAAGGTTATCATCGATGTGCCAACGGAAAACAAGAAGAACGAGAAAGACGAGAAGCAGACAACGAGTGAACAGACAACGATTGCGACAGTTGACGACAAGTATGATAGCAAGCGAGACGAGGCGAAGAAACGCGCCGTCGACATCATCAGCGGTGCGATTGGCAAGCCTCCGATGCAGAAGAAGCCGTTGAATGGCTCGCCGCCGGTATCACCTCAAAGTCCGGATTCGAAGAAACTCGGACTGAAGATACAGGTCGCGCCAAACGATGTGAGATCGGCCACGGTATCGGTTTCCACGCCGGTCGAGACCAAGTTCGCTTTCGACGCAAAATCTTCACCGGCAGCGTCTGAGGCAACCGTAAGTATCATGACACTATTAACGCTATTATACGCGCGCTTCATAGAGCATTCTTGACCACTACCATTCTTCACCACTACCATTCTTCACCACTTGTTTTCCTTGTTTTCCTTTTATACTTTTTTTTTATACCTTTTTTTAATAGATAAGTAGCACGTCCGACACGGCAACTAGTGACAAGTCGCAGTTGGAAGAACCTAAGATGTCCAGTAAAATGGAAATAACATTAAAGAGTGCAACGTTACCTAGACGAAAGACGAGCAAAGCTGAAATTACGTTGTCCGGAGCTAAAACGCCTGAAACAATCGCGTTTAAATCCGAAGTAGAAGCTAAGATCGATGCGTTTCAACCACAGAAACTGCGGACGCAAAGATCGGAAGTGGCGTTCCCGGTTGCCGTCACGGTACCTCACGCGAACAGAAGTTCGAGCTTAGAACCGGAAAACCGACCTAAAGCCGCACAGCCAAGAGAGAGAATCATTCCTATCCAGGTATGAAAAAATCGTTTACCTTTATCTGAAACTAATTTCTTTTATTTGCTTATATATATATATATATATATATATATATATTAATTTATGGGATAATATTAACTCTTTACACACAACACATAATTTCTAAACTGAAAATATGTAAAAAAATAAATTTTATAGAAACGAATTACAAAGAAACAAATAATTCCTTTTATAAATTTTTCTTAACAAGATTAATTGTAACTTTTACAAGCGCAGGTGGAGACCGGATCCGAATACACTCTTCAACACTCGTCTACACCGCCGTCTAAACCACCGATATCTCAACGATCGATATCACAGCGATCAAGCTCTCTATCTCGTCAATCGACGGCTGATTCGGACACTGATAGTGCTCTCGGCTCCACTATGGGACCAGAACCGATCAGAAAGAGTCCGAGAGAGTACATAATTCCCATCGCTGTGGAAGGTGGTGGTTACGTGACGCCTAGGTCGGGTAGCCTAGAGCCGGAGAGTAAGACCAGTACGCCGACAAGCACGAATCCGCCGAGGTCTAGATTCGGCAGGCCTAGACGAATGAGTTCTCTTCTATCGGACGCCAGCGAGGATGAATCTCCATTCTCTTCGTTGCATAGGTAGATACAATTATGCCATATTATTAGATAAAATATAATAGATCTTCTTTCTTTCTACATTAAATTACACTGTCTGTACTGTAAATGAAGCATACATATATTTGATAATTATTGGAAATGAAAGGAAAATAGAAAAATTATAAGATGGTTTAAAAAGTGTAGCTATAAAGTGAAGTTCTAGGGTGAAATTGAATGTAACTCATGTTGTAATTCTTTCTCTGGACAGCGAGGACTTGCTACAAAGGCACATGCATCGGTTGAGGAGCTCGCGACCGTCGAGGCAGCCGTCTGAGCACGCCGACAGCTTGTCGTCAGGCGAGGACGACGACGACGACGGTTTCGAGCTACTGACCGCTGAGAATCTGTTCTCAACCTTACTGTCCAGAGTACGAAGTTTGACACAACGACTCAATGTCGATGATAATCGAGCGGGCAGTTTCCCGACCAGCAGATTGTTCGGCCGACTCGGCGCCCAGCCGTCACAGACGTTTTGGGGCCTCAATAAACCGTTGTCCAGGTAATTAAAAGCGAACCGTTCGTTTGAAATTACCGCGTGAAATAACCTCGATCACCGAATATACCATACCAGGCATACCAAGCTTTCCATTAACAACTAGTATTTAATAATTTTAACTTCAACTTTAACTTTAATGATCATGGTGATGACGGTGGTTTTATGCTTGTCTGTGCAAGCTACGAGAGCTATGTCGAAACACGGACCATGACTACGTGAGTCCAATTGTTCAGAAAGAAATTGTAATAAAACATAGTGTATAACGTCCACTAACCGACAAATAAAAAAAAGAAACACAAGTAGAGATTGTCACGGTCGTTTACGCGAAGGAAACGCAGAAATTGCAATTGGACACACGCTGATGAGCAGGTTAAAAATCAGATCGCATTTTGTGTACGTGTACACTTTGTTAGTGTCAATCTGTTTCGCTCACTGCGACATAATTGATGTGCCACACGAGACACTCGAGTGTGAAAATAAGCAAGCCCGAAATATCTACGATCAACCCGTATAGGCTGTGACACCCTTTGCTTCTTGCCAACACCTTCTTGCCAGTACTGATTTCGCCTTCGTCGACTTTGACTTATTTTGCACTCTTTCTTCTTTCTTTCTGTCGTAACACAGATGATTGACACTAAATGTGAATATTTTTCTCGCTCAGTTTTTCTTTTTTCCCGCATCAATCATAAATCTTTGCATTCGATGCATTGAAGATAATAAGATCATATACCTATACACGAGTGATAATTCGTCGTTCTTTTTTATTGCGTACAGGCGGCTCTCCGAATCGCAATTTAAGCATTCTCTGAATCGTGATGCGGATATATTCTCGAAACAGGACTCCGCCAGCACGTCCAATCCCGGAACGCCAAATAGCCCAGGATTGCGTGGTACTCCCTCCAGGGAGAGCGTCTTTGAGATCGGGAGCAATACCTTGCCGAGAGGTAAGAGAGTGCAGTACAAATCATTTTGCAATTCAATGTGGCACTTTGCGCGAGATCGTAGAGCGTAGCACGCGCGAATGTAACGAAGAATTAAAGGCTTGAAATCGATGAGACTTGACCCATGCGTCTGTTCTACGAATACGTGCAAGGTCCACTGCGAATTGTACACTACGAATATTTAATGTTGTAGAATATTGACTCGCGTCTTCACAGAAGCCGTAGTTGAATTTCGTTGTTATATCTCTCTATACTATTCTCCAAGACGTCGGCTATCGATTAGGTCCGAGACATCGACGATCTAATGCGATAGCGATCGCGTAATCGCAGCAAGATCCCGAGGATGGATCTCGTGCTTCTGTTAAATCGCTGTGGTCATCGTGCTATTTTGTCACTGGTTAAACTTATTAGCCTTGTGAGAAAATGCTGGATGGTATTCAGTATGCATCTCCTAGTACCTAGCTGTTGTCGAGTCGTTGATAGACAGAGCACACCTTTTTGTTTACTTTTTACCGTTTCTCTCTTTTCTTCTTTTTTTTGTTCACTTTCTCTCCGATAAGTGAATTTTTTTCATTTCTTGCCTGACGATTTGCGACTTTTGGTACTAACACACTTTAGATTAGTTACACGGTTCATGTTCGGCACAGATGGGTATATATCGACAATAGAGAGAGACCTTTGATTCATTCTTAATAGAGAGAGACCTTTCATTCATTCATTGTTAAGTGAAAACAAAGTAACATGTAATTTTTCCAAACAATCGTTTTTCAATTTCGCATTGATATTCGTAGATGTAACATCAATATTTTCCATTTTCGATAAAACAACAAACTATTTAATAAAGGACTATTTAATAATTCCTGTATAACTTTTAAGATTAACTCTGAGGGATAATATATATTTTCATTTTTAGACTCTGAAAGCATGTCTGCACGATCCATTCCCTTGAGAGAATTTATCTACAGCTAATCGTTCTATTTTTCATAAATTTTTATTTTTACTTTTTCAAGTGTAAAGCTTGTAGAGATTTTGTGATGACACGTTTGTGCAAATTAATATCGTTTTTAATACGAGAGAGTGAGAAAGAAAGAGGGGAGAGAGAGGGAGAGGGAGATACACATATAAATGTGTTTGAACATTAAAATATTTTTTAATTAATAGAATAACATGTACGGTTTGTTCCCGAGTAAATCAAAGAGACGCAAATTAAATATTGCAAGCTCACTCTGCCTGACATAGAACCTCGTAATACTGCCATAGTTGTTGCAATGCAATGCTGCTGTTGATTTATATTATTTCATAACATCGTAGTAGCAGCTCCTTTTCTTTCATTTACCTAATGTATGCTAAAAAATTTTGAGCATGACTGCACACGTCCATATAATATATATACATATACATATATATGTATGTGTGTATATATATATATATATATATATATATATATATATATATATATAAATATAAATATAATGTATACAATATGCAACATAAAGTCTCTCGATTTCACTATCCAAGACAGAAATCCATATTTGATTCAATTTCATATAATTAATTTACGTCTATCGTCGACTCTTCAATCAGTGATCGAAATAATTGTTTGTTAGCGGTATCGATGATATTTTAGAGAGATTGTGACGATACGTGGCGATACTCGTACAAATTATTATTCAGTTAGAAGTTTACGGTTGCTCGGCTTGACGAACTTTCACGACAGGGACTTCTACAGGGTGATATTTTTTTCAAATTTACTGACGATAGCTTTGTAATAATTTATCAGAGTAGTATCGTTTCATGTTTCTTATCTATCTTATATCTAAAAGTTTGTCTAACATATAATGATTGAAGATTAAAAGAAAGAAAAATAAATATAAGTAACATCTTTTTCGTTAACTATAATTATTTGCAATCGGTAATTATGTAAATTGTATTGACAAACACAAGAAGACCCTGTTCAAGGATACATGTCAAGATTTTCTCAGTAGCATCGTATGTTTGGCTAATAAGTTAGCAAACAATTATTATTAAAAGAGATATATCTTAGAAAAAAAGAAATAAATCACAGTGGCGCCGTTTTGTGACACGTTTGATTGACGGTTTTATTGACGGTTGTTGCAGCGACCGTACGAGTGACTCTACGTAGGCGGGCTGACGGTAATCCCCAGTAGACAAACCAAGTTAGGTACTATACCTATATGCCTAATTTAGTGAATGTGACCAGATAAAGTCACATCGCAGTCTCGTATATTGTACGGAGAAACGAAAATCAAAAAGAAACTAAAAAAGATACCGTTTTTGTCGTTCGATCACGCACACTCCGAACGTGTACCTCGTCACGACAATCTACCTGGTGTTACCGCATAGAGTCTATGATGCGGCAAAACAGTGCAATTTCCGCTACGATGGGAAGACGTGTTGGATAATCATGTCCTCGTATTATGACGTGTACGCAATAACAAGAACAACTACAACAACTACAACAAAAACAACGTACAACGCTTGGAAAAAATAAAAAAATGATATATGTAAAAAATTTTAAAAACGATATATATATATATAAAATAAAAAAAACTATATATATATATATATATATATATATATATATATATATATATATATATATATATATA